GCAGGGGCGTCCCTCTCTATCTTCAAGAATCTCTTGAAGAGTCATCTTTGCCGAGAGCACCTCCTCTCCCAACACCTCTTACACACTGACGTGCCTTCCGAGCACTTACTATGCACTTCTTTACCTTTATCTCCTTGCACTTGCTCTTATTGAATTGATGTAGTACTTAGTACTTATTCAAGGTCTCCTACTGCACTGAAGCTTTATTGCTGTCCCTCACTTCTAAATCGCTTTCAATAAAAGCGTCCGCCAAATCATTGAATGTAAATGTAAATTTCTGTGATGTATAACTGCCAGCACTGTACATGCATGAAAACATAGCTTGTCAGAGGCTTCTAAAATAAAACATATGGCCATTTAAACTCATATGGGCGTCTCTCTGATCAGCCACCTCTATGGTTATGGGTTGATTTAGTTATAAATATCATTAAAGATGAGGGAAAGATTGTTTTATGATTAAAAAAGTCTGTCCTAAAATCCCCAAATCCCCATCAGTATAAAATACTGCATGACTGTTCAAATAGAAATAAAGTGTCATTCCCTTTAAACAGGCAACTCAGGCTGGCAGTTAATGCATCACAGACTCTGCACAAATCTGTGCAGTTAAGGGATAAAACCGGACTGAGGTTGATCATCAGAACAAGATTGGTATCTGCCTCATGGCAGATCATCACGCTGGGTTGATGTGCTTCCTGTCAATACACAAGAATGGCTCTGGGATCAATGTCTGATGCACTCACTGTGTGACTGAATTAATCAATCACACACACACACACACACACACACACACACACACACACACACACACTGTAGCTCATTCTCAGACACAAAAATGTGGATACATAAACTCATGCTGATAGTAATGTATGTGTTGAATAATACAAACTCTTACTTACTTTGATAACACAGTAACATTAGACCCAAACATATACACACATCAGTGCATGGAAAAGTGTCATATTTCATCTTCACACTTGCACCAAACACAAAAACACTGAGCACACAAATTAAAAATGAGGTGAGACATTGCTCTCATACACACAAACACATGCGGAAAGGAAAGGAATCATCTTCCGAGTATAGCACATAATGCAGACTGTGACTGGAACCCATTTGAGAAAATGTGATTAGTCCAACACACGCCATCTCATTAAGAGATTGAATCTTAATGCCAGGAGTGTTTCAGTGTGGGAGCACTATTTGGCAAGAAGCAAGCCCAGATGCTTATCAGTGTCTTGATTCATACTGCAGCCGATCACCAGCTATCAACAGCACATCAGGGACTCCTATGAAGAGTATTATACATTCATAGATTTCAAATATCCACACACACACACACACACACACACACACACACACACACACACACACACACACACACAAAGCTGTTTTCTGAACCATTTACCCAGAGTGGATCCATACGCACAAACACACACAGAAGCATCTGTTTCAACATGACCACTTACTAATGAAACGATCAAAGCAAACTTTTCTTTTATAAATCATGTACTTTCTTGTTTGTGTGTATGTTCATCGCTAACCGCATGTGAGTGATTGTGTGTGTGACACACGTGTAGCCATGTGTGTTTATGTGTGGTCATATCCACATGTGCACGATATGTACATATGATTGTGTTTCTGGTAAGCGTGTAGATATGTGCATCTGTAAACAAGTAAAATACAATTCTTCACATATTTGTGTGGGTGTGTCTGTATGTGTAATACTTTTTCAGATAATTAATATGCAGTATGCAAGCATGTGCATACAAGTACTGTTGGTGTATAAGCCTATGTGTCTACATTTGTAAGTGTGTGTAAATCTGCACATACACATGTTAAGAAGTGTGTATGCAACTGTACAAATCTATGTGTGCTGTATATGCGTTAGCCACTCTCTGACACCGAGCATTAACAAGTACCACAGTGACTGATGGGAAGTAACCACTGATGAAATCCAATCTGAAATAGCTGTAAATTCATAAAGAATATGACGTTCGCAGTCGTCCGATCACTGGAACAGTTACTATAACAGCCAACCATAAGCTTACATTATAAATATATTCACTGTGGACACGTTGAAGTGAAATGCTGCATGTACTAGTTAGCTAGTGCAAACTGGACAGAGCAAGTGACCATGTTTGGATACGTTAACATTGTGCAGGAGAGAGAAAGCGCTCTACAATGACACCTGTGATGACACGGTGCAGACAACGAGCGCTGTACTGCATGTCGTGTTAGAATGCTAACTTTTGGTGAATTTGGTGAGAAATCTACAGCCGCGAATTGACAAAGTGTATTAAAATAAACACCTAAATGTGTACTGAACATACCTAATGTGTATAGAACATATTTTTCTGTGATCAACATTGCAGTCTGCGCTCATACAACAGTATGTCCATTACCTGTAAATCACCATATCAAGGCGACACTGGACACTGGATCTGAGATATCACATCTAAATGCTTAACTTGTAAATAGGGAACGACACAGCTACTATAAAGTGAAGACCATTCAAAACATGGCTGAACAACTGATCAAAATATTATCAAAATCACAAAAGTGCAATGTTCAAATCACAGGAGCTGCAACTTTTTGATAAAGGTAAAACGTGTCACAGCACACCGTTATACTGTATATGAAGCATTGTGGTGCTACAGACATGCGTGCTAGAGAACATGCTTGTCTGGTACAGACCCCTCAAAAATCACATCATCATTTTATTTTTTTATTTTTTTTTATTTTTTTTTTACATGAAAATGAAAATAAAAATTCCCACTAAAATCGGGACTCATCACAATCGCAATATCTGGAATTCAGATGAATGCTGAACTAAGCTATTATATAAAGTATACTGCGTACACACACATTCGGTCTGGATATTTGTAGAGTAAGTATTACAGTGTAAAATATATAAGTACATTACACTGCACCTTGATTCTGATATGTGCACAGTAGACACAGGCACATCTACGATTTCCGTCTGAATCTTTAAAATGACTTTGTGCATCAAAGCTCATAAAACACTCAGCTTTCTGTCAATTTGTCTTCAAAGTGAGATTATGTTTCCTAATCTCTCTGAAGTTTCTTTACCTCACTTAAAACAATTTGTGTATGTGACACTTTTATATTGTTTCATATGGGCAGCTAATGTAAACTACCAAGTGTGGGAGGCTGTGGTTGTTAGCAGATGTAATGACTTAACCCATGTGACCTCAGCTGTCCCGCCTGAGCAAATAAAACGTCAACATCCGGCTTCGCAGCCCCTCCTCTGACAGCTCAGTTTCCTCCTTCTCACAGCGCTTTTCTTCCAACAAGACTACGTTGGAACGAGACGGGATGTGGTGTTTCATCACTCCAACCATGCTGCGGTTGGTGGACGTGCTGGTGTTTGTGTGCGAAAGAGATACGTCTACATAGATTCATGCATATGTGTAGGCACTAGGCTATATTTTCTGTATATGCACAGATAGACATGTAATGAGAAACAAAAGAAAGTGTGTACTTCGCAGGAATTACCACAGCTGTTCTGATGCAGAGCCTGCTTGTCCGTGACACACCAACTTCCATGTGTAATAATCTGCCTACAAATCTGACAGCTTTTTCCTCTGAAATATCCTCAGCCACACAGGATATGATGTCTTTTAAATGCCAAATGTTTTAAATAAACAGAAAAAAAAATGTGTTAGTAACGACATCGACTTCTACCACAGCTGAGCAGACACAGACAAGAGCAGCACATACAGAAACTCATACTTAATGAAGTCACAGTCCCGCTTACACGGTGTGATTGACAGGTGAGCTCTTGAACGTGCAACACAGAAGCCGCACAGCAAAGAATATAAAACAGAAATGAATCATAATGAAGCAACCTTCTCTAAAGATATGACCACAACCACGATAACAACTGTTGTGGATGAATACGGAGTACAGTAGGAGTGTGTGTCATGTCTACAAGCGCCCTTGGGATACAAACAGCAACAGGCGATGGAAATCCCATTAGTTTAAACAGACACAAAGCAGGAAAGCTCAGCCTGAAAGCTGGATGGTGTTTTGTTTTGTCAAACGGAGAACTAAAATCAGACATTTTGGCCATAGAGCTATTTTACACCAGGAAAACCAAGCTGTGGTCAGCAGAGGGCTGTTTTGAATTTTAGAACTGAAACTTGTCAGCTTTTAGAAAGTCCCTCCAGGACTTACTGTGGATCCACTCTCTGACAAAAACAGTGATGAAAGACTCAAGATCGTGCAAGTGGGTAGCAGTTAGTATTACAGTCACCCTTTTCACTTGACAGCTTGTTGACCTTCTCTAAGAGCCCAAAATCTGTCGGAGCTTCCAGTGTTACGTAAAGATTAGTAAGAGATCGAATCTAATACAGTAGCAGTTTTTATAAATATTCTGCATACGGTTTCTGCAATTAGTTGTACACTGTAAGTTTCAAAATACCTTCAAATACCATCTGTAGCCTGTTTTTAAAATTAAAACTGTTTAAGATTCTGCGTCTCCTATGGATGGAGCAACAGGTGATCACATTCAAAAGAAATCCTGTACTGACAGTGTCATAAGGTGAATGAAATCAGGTCAATAACAGTCACAGCCAGGACATCTTCACCACCAACTTGATAAAAATGAGGAAAAGCAAAGAGATGTGTTGTGTTGTGTTTCTAAGTGAGTCTGTGTTTATATGTTTTTGGGCAAAGTGGATGAAGGAAGATGGAACCGCATGTTAGAGGACAGAAAATGTATGGAAGTTAATGTTTCTACAAAACATTGACTTTTTCCAAGGAAACAACATCCCTATTCAACTTGCATCAGTTTGATACCGTGACCTGTGTGTGTATGTGTGCACCATGACACCAGCTGCTCATTCTCATGAGAACAACAATCAGTATCAACTAATGGTTTATCTTTACTTTCAAAACTGTTCTTCAAATTATCAGAAGACAGATTTTAAGTGTCTGTGTAAATCTCTACTATGTAATGTAGAAGTGCAAGTACTCACACAAAAGCGTGGTAGATGAACGCCCATTCCCTTGGTCTCTCCAACACGTTGTAGAGGTAATTCTGGAGGCGCCGGTACCGCGCGTTCCTGCGGCCGCTCTGGGCGCTGTAGGTCAGCGGCTTCCCCAGAAGGCTGAGCCGGGCGCCCTGCTTCCTCTCCGCTCCCACCGCACCTGCCGTGGCGGGAGACAGGAGACCGTCATTTACTCGCACCGCGTTATTCATCGTCATCCGCCCAGACTCCACATCTTTCAATGCGTAGTCCTGCGCCCGGCGTCCCGTTGAGGTTTTCAGCCAGAGTCCGGTGCCGCCGCTCTCGTCGCCTGTATGACTTCGCGGCATGGCATCACCAGCGCAGGCGTGGAGTGCGCTGGGACACCGGCAGACATTCACATGTAGCCAAGTGCTCTCGCGCCAGAGGTTGTTTGGCTACTTTAACTTTCACTGAACAGTAAATAAAACAAAGCAGTGGGTGAAGAGTTAAATATCTAATCTGTTCTCATCTTGTCATCCTGTGGTCTGTTGGAGCTGATTCACAGTCTGCTTTGGACACTTTGGCCATCTGCGCAAGGCTGGAGAAGAGTGGGGTTATGAAGGAGTGGATCCATCCAGACATTTGGCGGTGGGAGGGCTCTCCCACCCTCCCACACCACACTCTGCTTCTTCCCCCAACTCACTCGCCGTCTTGCTTCTTTCTGTTAAAGTGTGCGGTGCCTGCCGGTGCTTCTCCAAACGATGGTTCAATTTTACGCATCGGGCAGAGAAGGCGCAGCACTGCCACCAAAACCACTGGACTAGTAGGTGATCTCTGTGGCTACGTGTGACTTGCGCTTTGAATAATAAATGTTAACTGAAGACACGTGAAAAGACATCAATGCACCGATGACGCAGGTTTTACGCAGGGGAGGAAATTGCCCGAAGACCAAACCAGCCAGTGTGATCGTTTTGGTCGATTAATCACAGACAATATCTGAGCCAACACGCTGCATTAATCACCTCTACACAGAAATAGAGTCTATTCTTCTGCGTGTCAAATCACACTTTAGAAGGGAAATGTGTGTATAACTGAATATAGGCCCATACTATGAAACTGGTTTCACACTGTTGTCTACGATTAGCCTACATTTCAGTAGCCTATTGCATTTGCCGAACTAAAATGTTATAAATAAATTGGTTGAAGGTTGAATATCACTGTGAGATTAGTTCATATTCAGAGAATCAGACTTTACGGTGAAGTAATATAGCGGCTTTCGTGGCAGCAGAAACGGTGAAGGTGGTTTGTTCTGCTCGGTCTCAAACTATCTCCGCCCGGAACCGATCACGCTTTCTGATTATGTTGTTAAACAGCTGAGCCACCCTCGTCCCCACCGACCTGCCACGTGACACAAGGACCCTACTTTTTCTTTTCTTTCTTTTTTTTTCTTTTTCTTTCCAACCTGTTACTACTAAACAGCCTGTTGTCAATTTTACATATGTATTCACATCCATTCAAGGACTGTGGCTTATGGTGAAGTGTATAATAAAGTGTGACTGGGATTTGTATCTACATTTGACCAAAGCCACAACAAAAGGGAGGAAAGAGAGGAAATCAGAGGCAGGAAAAGAGTAACCAACAGCATCAGTGCTGATATTATTGTGTTAGGCTCAGTTCTGTCCTTTTAATCAACGCACTGAAGTTGAATAGTTAAAAACTGCTCCATTATTCCCATTCTTTTTATTTCAGTCCTCAAATGAGACGTTTTGCAGAGAAACATTTGGTTTTGTGGATTTCAACTGACTTTGATTTAAACCAGTTTTACACCATTGTGTATAGTTTCCCCTTCATTTGAAATGTCAGCACACCACAGTCCTACTGTACTGAACATAGCCTGAACATTTTAAAGCAAGATATGTTAGAAAGGGGTTTCCTGTTGTGATCAAAGCCTGGCCTCTAGTGGTCAAATATTGTAATTACACGGATATATCATGAGAACTTCAAAAGTCCAAAGCAACTGGTTTTGAATGTCTGGATTCACCCTGTGTTTAAATTTATTTCCTAAATACGCCTGTACTGTGTTGTATTAGTACAAGCCTATAGGTTATTTGACTTAATAGGGTTACTTTTGCCTGGAATTGTGATTATTTTTACTGTTTTATTTAACTTTTAATCATTCTAGCCGTGTTAACCTTTGGTGGACCTGAATTTAATGCTGCATGTATTATGCAGTTATATATCGTAACCGTGTAGGCCTATTTTTACGTTTTGCTTTATTTTCATCTATTTGTTATAATTGTCGGTTGTGTGACTTTTGTTATGGTAGCCAATTATCAGGTCTGTTCTTATTGCCATCTCAGCATATATCTGACACCTCTGAGGATTAGTTGAAGTAATCCACACACAGACTCATAATTGCCAGAATTTCGTCACGTCAAATCTCTACTATTCTACTCTTAAATTAGAAATCGAAAGGGGAGTAGTGAGTAGTAGAGTGTGAGGGAGTGAGAGATTTCAGGTTGAGAGAGAGAGAGAGAGAGAGAGAGAGAGAGAGAGAGAGAGAGAGAGAGAGAGAGCATTGGTTGGGATTAGGCCTGCAGGATGGACGGGATTACGGAGAGCAGCGCTGCGCAATTCCCTGTGCGGTGCGCTCTGCTATGGGCTTCTCCGCATGGAATTTCTCCGTCTGCCTGAATTGATCCACACCTGAGACCTATAACACACTTCGCAATTCCACTCATCCTGGAGATAGGAGCGTACTAGCTATATGGAAACATGGCCGACGTTCCCCAGATCGTCAAAATTGGGATTTCCTTGAAGATGCTTCCCAACAACACCGCGGTGTACTTCAAGTCCGACGGCGCACGGTTCGGACAGACCCGGACCATCAAGCTGCTGACTGGGTCCAAGTACAAAATCGAGGTGGTCGTTAAACCAGGAGCGGTCGAGGCCACGTAGGTAGCTCTTTCGATTCTTGTTTCAGACGTGGATTATCCTGACCTGATCAAAACCCAAGCAAACTGATGAAAGGCCATAATAAACCTATTGATTCTCTCAAACAAATTTCAATATGAGGGACCATACTGGATTATGGAGATGATCCATATGGGAAGGCAAAAGGACATATGACAAGAGCCTTGTAAACAATGTAGATTTTGTCTGAATGACAACCGCTAATTATTGTCCGTATAATATTCCTTTGGAAGATATCTGGGTTATCGTGTCGTTACTGTACGTGTATTTTTTAATATATACTGGATCCGTAAAATGTATTTTTTTGGTAAAATGTATTTAGCCTACTATTCAAAGTAAAATACACTATATAATGGGTCCTTTGTCTGCTTTAAAGAACCTAAACAGTAGTTTTCCTGCATTTTTTTCTAATTACACAGAGTGCGCAAATTACGTTACTTGACGGTTAATAAAAGGACAAAGGATACGAGTCGTTACTCGCATGTATGGCGTTGACCTGTACAGGTCTGCCGAGGAATAGTCAAGTGCAGATTGTAAGGCTGCATTCATGTATAGTAGGAAATATGGCTGTTGGGAATCTATAGCCTATCGAACATGAAATGGTAAAACGTGATATAAAAGTGGCGCTATTGCTTAATTTCAAGGTTCATGGAAAACAAAACATAATTTACATACGTTGCACATGTTGTTACATTAGTATGTCCTATTTCCAAGTTTAGCACTGGAAAGTAGGATTTTTCGAGGAGCACGTGAAGCCAGCATAAACCCCAATTGGCCACAAATCAAATCCACCACAGATTAGGACTCAAGCGTTTGGGCTTTGTGTAGCAACCCTGTTGTGATTTGCCTACAATTCATTGTTATGGAACGAATGTTGTTGTAGGCTTCTTCCATCTCCAAATAAGGATTAATGTTGGACATCTAAATATCAGGGTGTGAAACATGCCTGGATGAGCACTCCGATTTAAAAATAGGTCACACACCATGATGCATTGGACATGTTGCACTGATTTTGGGGCATGCTCATGAAATACAACTGTAGACTAAATGGTTTGTCAACCTATAATCAGTAGCTATCAATATGTAGCTCACACTTAATCTATAGCAGGGTTAGGATCCATACTATTTACGGTTTTAATTGCCTCAATCACAGATGAAATTATTGGGTTTAAAATCTATTAATTGGTGCTTTTGAAATTTCAGTATATCCGTCAAAATATTTCAGGATACATCTCGTCTGTTTTATGAACTCGTGATATGTATTATACTGTTATGTCACGTTCACATTAATCTTTATTTTTAAGAACGTTTCCTGATAAATCCCATAGACTGCATGGACGTAGCCTCTGTGACGTCACCCACAGATTTCAGAGGAGCGGTTTGTGAGCTGTTCCGCCGTTGCCATGTTAGCAGTGTCTGACTCTTGCCCGGCTCCCGGCTAATCCAAAACTGGGCAAAGACGTGGGGCGTGTATGCAGCGGTGTATACCAGTTTAAAAACGACGACAAGCAAGCGCTCCCGTTAGCATTGCTAGCACACATGGGGGTCTTGCTCAAAGGCTAACCCAAGGCTAATTCCCGGCAAAAATTAGCTAGTTAACTACCTAAGCTAACAAGCCAGGCATAACGAGCGCAGACACCGATACCTGCTAATTACTGCTAACACATAAATAACACAGTACTAGAATTTCACTCACTTCAAAAAACAAGAGCGCAGCCTTCCTCGTTCTGTTACACAATTAACCGCACAGCACGCCATATTATTAGTCCGATATTTGCAGAGGTCATGTTCAGTGAATCGAATTAGCTGTGGTGAAGCCGAGCAGACGGCTAGCAGCTAGAGACCGAGTGGCTAGCTAAGCAGCCACGCCCCCCCCCCCCCCCCTTAAACCTTAAAAAAATGTAAACGGGTTAATTTTTAATTATTTTTATTTTTAAGTTCACCCCCGTGCAGTTGTCATGACCAGGCTGTAAACATGTTTACACCTCAAGTGGCCATTCGAAGAACTGCAGGTTTTGCACTTCCGTATTCTGCTAATTCCCTTGCGTTGTGTACCTGTATGCAGGTCGATGAGTGTGGGCGGGGTGACCTTTCCCCTGGAGCAGCAGTCTAAAGACCCACAGTCAGTGGTCTATAGTGGCCAATACGACACAGAAGGGGTGGCACACACCAAGAGTGGGGAGAGGCAACCAGTTCAAATCAGTATACAGGTAAGGATTTGCTGTACACAGGGCAGGAAAGCAACGTTGATCTGAAGGCAGATACAGGAGAAATTCAACATTCAAAAGTCTTTTATAGCCAGGAGGTGTTCAGAATCAGAGGAGAGTCTGTTTGGTAGAGAAGAAAAACACAGGATGGTTGTAAAATTTAATGTGTGGATATAGGAGAATAGCCTCTCTTTTTCCATTGTTTCTAACACTGATTTTGTCCTGTGCTTGTTTTATTCATTTCTATACAGTTAAATGACAAGTCTGATTATATTCTATATTGTTCTTGCCATCATATTCCATGAAAAAAACAAAACCAACAACCAATCGGATTTTTTTTTTGTTTCCTTGGTTATAGCTTTTCTATAATGTATCCTGAGAGTAACATGTGTTTCCATGTTTATAGTTTGTCTACAGTGTATCATGATAGTTAAACGTATTTCTATGGTTACAGTTTTTCTACAGTGTATCCCGATAGTTACAGGAATTTCCATGGTGACAGTTTTTTGACTGCAAATCGTGACAGTTACAGGTGTTTCCATGGTTACAGTTTAGCTGGATTAACCATGGATGATGACAGCTACAGTGGTGTATTTATGGATTGGGTGGGTGATGGATGATTCAGGTGTCAAAGCTTGTAATTAATATTAGCCTACCTAATTCAATGGTTACATCTTATCATCGATTAATATAATGATTTCCCATGGTGATGTCTTATAATGTCTTGTTTTGTGTGACCAACAGCCCATATATATTTAATGTACTATCATAGACAACTAATAAAACCAGGAATATAAATAATGTTATTGTGTTTAATAGATTAGGTCATTAACCATGCAACAAGGACATTAATTAACAGTGGACTGTGCATTGTGGAAACATCATCCTCAAAATTAGTTCAGAGTGTTCGGAGGGCAAAATCTTACCAGCTTGCAGCACTACACAGACACTTGGAGGGAGCAGCTGTTTGAGTTCCTGGCATGGCAATGAAAGTAGTGACATCTGATGTAAATGCTCAAATATGTTTAAATATATCTTATAAGGAAAAAGCAAGCAAAACTACAGGTTCAAACAATGTTACAAAAATTATTGCAAATATAATTTGTGTCTGTGTTTATGCTACCCATCTGTCCAGTTCACACTCGGGGGGGCCTCTGGGATCGTATTGTGTGTGTGTGTGTGTGTGTGTGTGTGTGTGTGTGTGTGTGTGTGTGTGTGCGTGCATGTATCCATCTGTCCAGTCAGTATGCTTCCTCTTCACTTCACCTCCACATGATTTTAGAGGCATGCTGATACAGTGTGAGTCTCTGCGTGTAAATGACTTTCTTATGAGTGTGTGTGTGTGTGTGTGTGTGTGTGTGTATTCCCATCTGTCCACTCAGTATGTTTGATCATCAGCTAATCAACTCAAGCCATCTACAAGATGTCGTAAACTGTGTGTGTGAGTATGTGTCTTTGCATTTGTATTCATCTGTGCATGTGTTTCTCCTACAGTTCACAGAGGCGGGAATGTTTGAGACGGTGTGGCAGGTGAAGTACTACAACTACAACAAGAGGGACCACTGCCAGTGGGGAAACAGCTTCAACAGCATTGAGTATGAATGCAAACCCAACGACACGCGTACACTCATGTGGGTCAACAAGGAGATGTTTGTCTGATGGAGGAACAGCCTGAGAGATTCAGTGTGTAATCTGCAAAATCACACATCTAGTTGTCAGTGTGTCATGGTGAAATTGAGACATTTTCCTTTAAGACAAAAGTTTTCAGTTGCTTCCTGTTGCTAAAAGGATATCTTTATCTGTCATTCACCTCCTTATCTACTGTCACTCTGCTCCTCTTAAGAGTTTTTTTCACTGTGGCTTCATTGTTTTTTTCAATCTTTCCACCAAATATCAGAAAATCTAAAACTTTTTGTGTGTCTGGAAAAATATACACCCTTTCCTCCTTTATGCTGTTAAACAATGCATTAGATTTACTGCTAAATCCGATCATACAGCAGTTCATATAAAATGCGGTGATACAAATGTGTCAAGATTAATATGGCATTTATTGAGGTTAAAATGACACGTGGCACTTCTCAACAACCTACGTTAAAATCATTTTTAATGATGTATTGAAAGATATATTAACATTTTGAGATGAATATTTTTAATGTATAGTTCAGTTGTGGTATTTGGTAACCCTCAAGTGTGTTCACACATGTGTAGGTACAGTACTGTTATGTGTGTGAGTGCACCTGTGCCTGTGTGTTTGGCTACAGTGTGTGTGTTTTGCAATTGGTGCTTGTACAGATGTGGTTTTTTGTGGTTATGTACTTTGAAGCTGTGTCTACATGTGAAGAGTTTCGTTCCAATATTTCCAGATACTCAGGCCACGGCAGTTCTTAAAAAATACTGCTGACATGAAAGCAAAGTATAAGTCATGTCAACATTTACCGAAATGAAACCTTGTAGAATAGAACACTTCCAACCAAGTCCAGTGTGTTTGAATTAGTGACATTTTTGATTTAACTGGCCCCAAACAGAGTTCTTTCCATCTGTCCTCGTATGGGAACTTGCCACGACATCTGTAGCCTCTAATGTTAAAAATGTGGGGTTTATTTTCAAAGTCTGCAACAGAGCAGGGCAACATCGCCAAAGAAAATGAATACAGTAAAAAACAAATTCAAATAAAGGATAGTTTATTACAGGTATTCTCTTATCAGCTACAACAAGTGCAAGGATTACAAAACAGCACTACTTTCAGCCTATTCTGCTGCTGCTTTTAATTTCTGAGACTTTTAGGTGAGATACCTTTTGTGTTGGTGTTGTTGCTGCCACCTTTAAAACCACTTTAAGTCACTCTTGACTGACTCAAGACTAAGTGGTACACCATGCAGCCACCCAGTCATTACTCAAGATAGCAAGCTAGCTTGCTATCCAAATGAACTGGGGCACTGTTTGATTGAAATGGTGACAAGAAAACAGTTGCCCATTTCATAACAAAAAAAAGATTGACTCATTCTGTGGACTATAACTACATTTATACTGTGCACTTAGCCCAGGTGCCTTGATGAAATCTTTCATAGGCTCTTGAAAGTGTACAGGTCCACTCCTCTACCAGCCTCTACAAGCTACTGTTACCCAGAAAGAAAGCATGCCCATCTTCTCAAAATAAGCCCATCTCCCTTTACAATGACACTGAATCACACAAAATCTTCTTGTCCCGTTTAAGTGAACTTATACCACTGCCTGCCCCTGCATTCATTAAAAATGGGCCGGTAGTGATTTTGAATGAAGCTCTGTGTGTAGCTGTGTGTCTGTGTATCATCTTGTGGTACCATTTTGTGTACAGTATGATGCAGTAGGAATTTTGTATTTGGATGAAGCTGTGCCCCTATTTACAGTGTGTTTGTTTTCTCTACCTCTTCAAAGGACTTAGCCATGAATATTTGTGTTTGTTAAAGATAAATATTGTATTGCAAACATTTAGACCAAAAACTGTTATTGACATATCTGGGGAAAAAAATCTATTTCTTGTGGTAAATCATAATATTTCAAAAAAATTTGTTTTTTTTGTACAGTGAACCATTTGAAATGTTTTCATATTATATATTTTGGTAGAAATAACTATAAATGTTGAAATTGTGAATTGATCTATGCAAGAAATCGGACCAACAAAATAATGAAATGGTGCAATATAGAGTGAGATTTACATATCATTCTTATCTTTTTGTGAAAGTGTTCTTTGTTTATAATTTAATCCAATTAAAATGGAAAATATTTTTGTGTGGCAAATATATTGTATTAATTTATTCTAAACTATTAACTGCATAACTTTTATTTCAGAGACTCACGTTTTGACAAATCAAGCAATTACTACTGTAAATCACTACTATAAAGGAAACAACATGAATGAATCAAGTTTTTATATTGTATATGGGAACTTTTAGAGTTCGTTTTTTTATGTTTGAGTTTTCAAGGCAACAAAGCGGAACTTATAGAAATATAAAAATATCATGCTGAACTGCTGGTGCACAATCCTGTGGTTGTCATGTTCAAAACTGGAAATTATTCTTTTTTTTTTATTTTTTATTTTTTATAAAGGTGGGACTCTTGCTCCACTATCCAGAATTATTCAGCACACTACTGCAACTATATTTACTATTATTGTACGATTACTGCTGGATGGCATGACTCACACACACTCTCAAAGGGACACCACACAGGGACAAGGTTCATTTTTTCCGCCCTAGTCGCTCTGCAGAAGCTGCTGTTCTAACACTGGGGCACAAATGAAGCACTGGTTAAATAAAGTTTCAAAAATTAAAAATAAAGGGTTAGATGTGTATTACATTATAAGTGCTTTTTCATGTCAGCATTTCAACGATTATGTTTCAAGTCCAGGATCTGCTTCACAATGAAATATCACTGAAATGCTGCTCAGCCAATAGTTGTCTAAAATAAAGTTTCCTTTTCAAGTTTGGCTTGTCTATTTAGCCCAGTTCGGCCTCAACATTTTATCGCTTTAAATCTGTAGATCTCTAAACTGATGATAGTACATCTGCTACTGCGGCTGTGCTTGCTTCCTCCAGAAAAAAAGATCACCTTTTCCGCATTGGGCTACATGCTCTGCCCACTACTGCTGTAACTAGAGTTTATAAAATTTATTCAGTACCTCCTCCCTCTATTACTACTCATAATACATGTAGTAATAGAAGTAGGAAGAACTACCGCTGTAATAGAAACCTCTACTGCCAGAGTCAGCAGTAGTTTCTGCTTCAGTCCAAACATTTTCTTTAGGAAATGTACAATTGTTTAGATTTTCTTTTCAGCCCAGCTTTACTGTACCTCTAAAGCCACTTAAAATCTGACTATGGCTTGCAACACTTAGCATGGATTTAGTGCCTGTCCATGAGGTAAAGTCTGTGCTATTGATGAACCGACTTAGTGCAGTAGGGATTACATGAAATGAAGTCCATCTGCCAGTTGTGTACATTGAGGTTCAGAGTGAACAGACAGTAGACTACATGTACTGTAGAAGAGGCCCGGACGCAGTATAGTCAAAACAACAGCAGGGGGAGCACAAGCACAAACCTGTTCAGGAGGTAAAAATATAAATAAATAAATAAATAAATATAACCTGTAGTTCCCGGATGTACAGTACTGCTGCACCTCCCCCCTTCGCTTCTTCTCTCCTCCCCTCCGCCACCGCCTGCTTGTCAAACCGAGCCTCCTCCTCCGCTTACTGTCCCCTCCCAGCGGGTCTCCCTCCCTTTGCACTGCAGTGAAAACCTCTGTAAAGGAGAGAGAGAGACGGAGAAGAGAGCCTGAAGCTGAGTATAAAGCCAGGCCGAGACCTCACACAGCACAGCAAACGTGTTTTTTTTGTATTTCTCGCCTCAGCTCGGCGGCCTACAGAGTGTCCCCTGTTGTAGCCTACCTCTTTTCCGTTCACATCGCCTGGATTTCATCATCCGACCTGCAAGATGGTAAGCGGCAACTGCTCCTATTTTCATACCTCCGCCGACTGGTAAACACACCAGTGGGCAGGCCTGCGCTTTAATGTGTCGAAGAATGTGGCGTTTTGACAGGTTGTTTTTCGTGGTGAGCGCTTTGCTTTGAGTTAGTAGTCGACAACGTAGAGCTCTGGCGAGAAGGAAATGCTTTTCTCACCCACTTTTGGCTCCTTGTCGCGCTCTCTGTGCAATACCCCGGGGCTGACAGTAGCCTAAAGCCTGTGGCCCAGATATTTCTTATCCCTTCTCGGCATAGCCTACACTCTTATTAGCAACGAGGCCTGTGCAAATTAGTTTTCGTGACAAAAATACACGCTTATTAGGCTCAGGGTTGGAACTAATTGTGGCATATTTTACACACCAGGCAGGAAAATGTAACGTCCGCTCAAAGTTACGGCTTTGCACTAATATTCTTTCTGCACTTAACGTATAATGTTATTTATCTCAATATGTTGTTGTGTGTGTAGCATGGCGCTGTGTTGATAGTTGCAACATTGTTTCATTGGAACTCATAAGCTTCAATGAAAAGGACGAAGCTACATTTGTTTCTAGTTACAGCAGTTCTAGAACTAGAGGAAGCTGTCACACCAGGCCACAGGATTGGCTTGTGCTGCCCTAATTAATTGGTTAGTCGCCTACATATGTGTATGTATACATGTGTATATGTATAAATGTATAAATCCATGTAGTTATCAATAGGAGTAGATCTCAGCGGTGTCCAGTACTGAATCCTTCTTCAACAGTTAGTCTTGTTAGTATTGCAAGGGCGCAGTGAGAAATTTTGAGTTCCATGCACAGACTTAAGCCTCCTGTCCCTCCATTCACTGCCCTCTCATATCCACAATCTATTTCCATCCAACGATATATCTAAAACTCCTCTACACATCCATTTTCTGATCAGTTATAGTTGTCATAGCACAGAAATTGGCAGTTGCAGCCATTTGTTCATTAGCAATGACCTGTTACTCTTTTGTTATTGTCTAGACAGGTACAAAAGCCAAATAGTATTCCTGGTTCAAGTTTGTTTGAGGTAAAATCATTGTTGCTCTATCATGTCTTGAGGAAACTTGAGGAAGCTTTGGGTTTTGTAGGTTTTGGTTGTTCAAACCTGTTTCTCAGTAGAAGATTCAAATGTCAATATTGACATGATTAAGTGTCCAAACTAGAGCTAGACCGATAAATCAGCTGGGCCGGCTGATAGCTGATAGCTTAGCTTATTGCAGTGGTATACGTGCAGCATATATCAGTAAAAAGAAATGTTAACGATATGGCATTTAGAAACCGTGTCAACGTTAGATAGCATGTCCAAGTGACAAGTTTATTTTTCATCTGTGAAAATTTCTGGTTAGTATATGTCTTGGCCACAAGTCTTTATAACCAAAATTAAGAGGTCTGTATTGGATCCCTGTCAACCTTTTCAGACATTGATATAGGTATTGACTTTAAAGACCCAGTATTGGTCAGTCTATATTGCAATTAAAATATCAACAAATGTCACTTTTTTTTTTTTTTTTTAATTTTCCAGAAATCTCTTAAAAGTTCTGTTTTTTACATTCATATTTCATGTCTCAGTGTGTAACATTTGGGCATTGATTTGTTACCAGTGACTCTAGTAGTGTGTACTTTGAATCTGCATCGTTAGGACTGATGCCACAGACTGTGAATTCACTCGGAGCCTGATCTAAGGAGCAGGTTTACTGATATCTTGATATAGCTGCTGAGTAAAACCTCAAATGGACTAGGCCCCTGGCTAGTTAACTGCAACATATACAGTATCATGAGCTCATGCATTGTGATTCAAGGTTACTGTTCCTGAGGTTATGTTCTGCACATTATGGTGCATAAAGCATGCAAATGAAAATACAAATAAACACATAAACCCCACACAAGAGCCAGGAATTAAGAGCATTATCCTCTGTCCATGACACAGCATTATTTAAAAAAAATAACAGTAACAATGGCTTTTTGACTTCTCAATAATAAATAAATTAACCAGAGAAAGGTAAACTAAATATACTCAGAACTGTGTTACATTTACCCCACAGCAGTCTCAGCTCTTTACCAGAGGGTAGAAACTCAGGGCATGCATGTCCTACCGACAGCGTGCCAACCTATAGCCCATCATAATGTATTCTCCTCAGCTTCAGGGGGAGGTTGGGGGCAGGGATACACCGTTGCTTAAGCATGTAGTGGAATGGACTGACGCTAAGGGGACCATATGCTGCCTAGCAATCAAGCGCCACCCACATAAGGATCGAGCCGTAGCTAATGTAAAAGAGATAAAAGCCACAGTGAACCACCAGCAGAAGTGATGATCAACACTACGTGATCCACAGTGCACTTCCAACCAGCCCACTCAGTGTGGATTTATTCTCCTCACTGGCCGTTACATTGCTGCAGTCCTCGGCTTGCACTGGAGCCAGCACAGGCCAAACTCAAACTGTAGTCAGTTTTGTCAGTAAACATCTATTTGCCTGGTTTGTCAGCCTCTGTGTGCAGTGAATAGAGAAGTGGAACGGGAGATAAAATTCATGAAAGACTTTTTAGGAGTGCCACAAAGTTAGAAAGGTCAAAAGGGATCATGACTGGTTAAATAAATTCTAGACACTGATGCTGATGCAGGAGGTGATGAGGGTGTTTAAAAAGCTACATCAGAACATACACCGCCTGTTGGCGAGAAGCAGAATCTATTGATTTAAATCACCAAAATAAGTGTCTCTCTATTTCTGCCTCATCAGCATCCAAGGCATCAAATGCACTGTACATAATTAATACCTAAAAGTGCATTTTGCACGCTGTCAATCGATCCATTATATTAGAGTATGGAGCATTAACGTAATTGGCTAATGCTGGTTGAATGGAGGACTCTAGCCAGGAGGGAAAAGTTTGCCAAACCCCAATGCCTATCACGGCCAAATACTCACTCCTTTCCAGAACGTTAAAGTATTGACATTTTCGTGTAAAAATATGGGATATTATGGGAAAAATATAGGGACGTTAGTAGATGTTGATTCCAGCCTTGTTAATTATAATTTAAGGTTTGGAGCATTCATTGACAAAACAAGCCCTTTGAGCACCTTTTGTCATTTGTTAAACAAAATTGTTTAGTGAGTTAATGAACTGTATAATAAAGGAATCAGAAATGTGTCAGTTGCAGCCTTAAATGATGTCCTGCACTTATCGTTGTGCTTTGTCCACTGGGACCTTTTTGTGTCACAGCATTCGTCAGTGTGTCCCGGCCCTGGTGACACCAAGATGAATTCC